GCATGATATTTGGACTTGTGATAAAAATAGACTGCTCTGTCGTACCATCACACAGTGTAATTTAAAGAGAATGTAAGTTCAAACAAAGGTCAGCGTTGATAACTACCCGCAAAACACCATCTCACTGACGAAGGAAGGAGAGGCTGTGAAAGACCCTACATTCTAACAAAGATTTGTCACGCATGCTCATCATGGCCTGCATCAAACATAGAACATGTTCATGCACGCAGTGTGTTCCTATCGTTACCAAAGGACTGCCGTTGCTGTGTATAACAATGACAGCTTCTGTTTGTACAGAGAGCTGGCAACTGGGAAAAAGAACTGACTTTCATAGCAGTTGTAATTTACATGTAAAATGACACTGCTACGATCTAATACAAACACTGCACTTGCTTCCCACTGAGACAACTGCCGTGTTTAATTTTTGGCTGCAGCCTGAAATTACACGGGAGTCTACATGTATGATGGTGGCTGTCGCCACTAGCTATAGAGTCCTGCGTAATTTCAAGATGCAGCAGAGAAATTTTGACACAACTTTTTCCACTTGTCTTCTCAATGTGCAGGGAACAAGCTGGGAAACACTTCTAATGATTTTCATTCTTTGCAATCCATCCAGATTAAGGGACTACAACACTCGGGAAGGATGACGTTGGTTGGAACCCCACCTGGACGATCTCTCCAAGGTTTCAGAAAGTGTTGGGCACACGGTACATGGTCTCGTAGCCAAATGGCTTTATGCTCAGAAAATTACCTGCAGGCCCATGGTGCCAAGCAAATCTAATATGGCAGTAAGAAGTCATTTCATGGGGCCAAAAGGCGGACATTCTCGATGCCATAATTGGGACATTTGATGCATTGTTGCCAATAAATTACCATTTTCAGAGAACAAGGGGATTTGACAGTCCCATTTGGGAGAGTAAAAGCCATTTGAGAAGCTACAAAATTGGCCACATTGTTTTTTTGTAATGTTGTTCCCAAGGACCTCAGCTCTTTTGCACTAAACCTTTTGCTTGAGATCACTGAGGCAGGTTGGTAGGTGATGTACAACTTTCTAAGAAAGTTGAAGTAAGGTACACGTAAGTAGTCACTGGATTGAAAACAAATTAGAACACGCATACTGTCCTTGCAAAGAGAGAAACTGGTTTGCTTTTGAAATGTGCGGTAGAGTGAGGGTGATGTTCATGTATCAGTCGAGGGGGGGTTAGTGCTGGGTAAGGTTCTGGTTCATCAACAGCAAAGGATGCCATGGCAACATATTATTCATGTTTCACACTGTACACGGCCCCTACAGAAAACCATGGAAATCAAAGTCTGGAGTGAGAGCAGGTTTTTTGGGGGGCTAGGGGAGGCAGGTATTAGGATGAGGGGAGATGAGCGGTGTAAGGAATCGGGGTGAGGTGGAGGGGTAGGAATGGTGGATGGATTCTGCAGGTTTTTCAACTACGTGCATGGCTCTGGTACTGATGGGGTTAGGCAGACAGCCGTGAGGAACAGCCAACATGGGGCTGGATGGCTCAAGTTGGAGCAACACCGGAAGTCATAGGTCCAAATCCTACTCCAGTCATATTTGTTGTCCAGCCTAAAACTAAACTAATAAATCCATGATTTTATTAGTTTGTACAAGTTACAGTCCTGTCCCAAAGGAACTGAATATTGTACATCGATACATGTGTGGGCACATGTACAGTGTGCTAGTTTGGTAATGTACATTTTCCCTTCAACCCGATCAGTCAGTCCTGTGAATTCAGAGAAATCTATCACCGGCTATGCCTCAAACCTATTACAATGTTTCCTTTTCTTTTCAAGCCACAATCCAAATACAATCTTCCCCCAATTTGCCCAAAGTGGCTTGAGTTCAATTCACGGTCAGAAAGCGACACTGGATGAGAACCAGCTTTTGTCTACACACTTTGAACCATCAACTTGGTTGAGTATGGTGGCGATCAAAGCCCAGAGTATCTTCCCGCCGTGCATGCCTCTCATTTCAATTCTTTTGTAGAAGATACTTTTCAAGTACATGAACATGTATATCTAAAGCACTACGAATTTTAAATACAATGAACCGTTTTGCTCCCTTATGCAGCTCTTATATCCAATTTTCCTTCTACATGAGTAGCAACACCCTGGAATTGCTTTGATGATTATCAAAAGACTACCTAAAAGACATGGATAAAGACACAGTAGTGAGTTACACACTTCGTACATGTATCTGACAATGCAAACAGCAACACAGTACGGAATTCAAATGGTATTATCTCTTTCCGGTGCTTAAAATGGCCGAAATTACCAACTTGTATGTGCCTTGATCGTCTGGAGAGCATGAAATGTAAGCAGTTTGAAACTGAAATCCGCTGAAACAGGATCTACCTGTTCATGCCTACTAAACTCTCCGTCTCAATTCAGCTTCTGAGCTATAAGTTTTCACAGCTGCAGTGTGAGCCACAATCCCCAAATCCCCATGTACCGAACATAAGAAGGAGGTGTCATCTCCCCCATGGATGAGCAGGCTTAGGATTCAGAGGACTTAAACCCTCCACTAAAAACAAACACCTTCCCATGGCATGAGATAATGGTGAGATGCACCTGCTGAGGATGCATCAACATCAAAAGGAAGGGAGGGTGTAGGGATCTATCAGTAGGCTACCCTGGCAAGGGGCATCAGCAATTCCAGGTGATGATCAACAGTGACACACGACACAGTCATGTTTGCAGCTATGTACGTCTTGAATGGAGGAATCGCATTTTAATAAATGTGATGACGTTACGGCCAGTGCTGCTTTTATCCAGTGCAAGTGGTTTAAGGCTTGTTTCTCCATAGCTGGTGGGGGCTAATTGGTAGGGCTTCATTTTAAGGTGAAACGGCCACTTTCAAGTCACAGGACTCATGGGACCTGCTAGTACCAATATGTCTACAGCCAAAAAATCAGGTGGCCTCAAATTTTTAAGACAAGCATGTAAAATACAGCTTTAAGCTCATGGTAAACAGTTGAAGCCAGGCCAGAGTAGGGAGCTCCTTCAGAAAGGCAGGTGAGGGCTTCCAGTCCCCCCCCCCCGGAAGTACAAGACGGCCCACTGGCAAGACTTGAAACCAGCCTTTTCTGTCTTTCCAACTTGTCCATCAGTCACAAATACAACCACCTGGCCGCACTTCTCCTTAAGCAACAGGTATAAGACGTTCCTGGAATCACAGAACAGCAGCTGCTAAACTTTCTTTACACGGGCACCTGACCAAAGCAGCCGGTACACTCGCACAACATACAACTGCATTGGCCGGTAACGAATTAAGCAATTTCCGATGTTGCTTAGAGGATTTCCGAAACTGACGGGGATTAAGTACAAAGCTGGGGGCTTATGCCGAGATGCAAAAATTCTAAATTCAGTAAAACGCGGCGGAGGATACAATGGAGTCTACGGGATTCAGAAACTAGGGCATGTCGGAGGAGGCTTCTCGGAACAACTTAATCCTAAAAAACACCCGCACAGCTACTGGGCAAATACGGATTGCGTCAAAGAACAAGGAAATCAGTGCAATCAACTTACTCTCTTATTCTCTCTGCTTACCTATACCTCGGGTTGCAAGAACCCACTATTCTCTGTGACGTTAACAATGAGTTATGGCAGGATGTAGCCAGAATATGACGGATTTCATTCGCAAGGGAACAATTCTCGGAAGAGCTATGACGACTGCTCGGAGTCGCAAGAGTGTCATTCCGTTCCTGCAAAGCTGCCGTAAGTGATAACTTAAGTCCTTTGGCACAAGACAAATCCATTATCACAGCCAGGTTTGATCTGTAACCATGGTTACCAATTCAAGACACACTACAAATTTTCAAAATAAAAAATACTGTCTCCAACAATATCTCTTCAATTCTCCCTAAAAATCCACAGATCTGGCTGATTTTTAGCCAATCTGATTCCTCACCACACATTTCTGGTGAAAGCTTAAACCTTACAGGCTACACTGCACGTGAAGTTTACTAGTAACTCTAAAAATCAAGACCCCTTAGCTGCAACTATCTCTCCCATAATCCCATCAGGTAAGTCATTTTAGGACAGAAATATTTCCCCCTATTTATCAATCCAACTATTGGCACAAAATTTTGCCATTTACAGATATATGTTAAAGTATAACTTCCCAGATCTCTTTGTTAATTTTGAATAGTAAGTAATCAATCATCCCTTGCAAAAGACTGCCTAAATTATTGCCACTGATCTCCGGCAAAATAACCTTAGATCTCAAACAAGCTGAAAGCCTTTTTGTGACCATGTACATCACTTCATGTTCATGTTCACATCAATAACGTCATTCTCTACGAATGTAAATGTTACAGAGTTTTCAGAATGATCGCTAAACATACACCAAAGCAAATGGTATCCTATTTCCTTCAGGTGATGAATTGACAGGCACAATGATGTGTGCACAATCGACCCAACTCAACTGACTCAATTCAAACGATGATTCACTCAAACATGTACCTTTGGTTTAACTATACAAATTCACACCACTGTGCTCCATGTTCACAAAAACACTTGTCTTTGGACATCAAGATCAATAATGTAAGGATCCCCCCCCCAAGAAAAGAGCAAACAAAAAAGGAAACTTTAACTTTTGCATGGCAAAGTGCAAGACTGAAATTCAGAAGATTGAAAGTATTAGGTTTTGCAGACACGGTGTTCAGAAAAGTTAGTGTCATTTAAGGAGTTATTTTAAAATGAAAATTATTTTTTCAACCTGACAGGTGAACTTGTTCAAATTTGAAAAAAAGGTAGCAAATGAAACCATCAAAATTTAAATTTTGTACTCTATTACTACAACATTAAATCAGAAATGTATCAGAAGATGACGAGGGAGAGCATAATAGGAGAGATGGGTCAGGTGGACGTAAATCCCTGGTTTTGAATCTTCATTGCATCCTTTCCTTCATGTCTAGTGCTCCGAGGCAAAAGCTGCATTGTACAATTCATAGGGCATGAACATTTGGAACTCAAGTCAAGTTTACCTTTTTCAAGATCCACGGGGAAGACGTCCATCCGCTCCACTCGTTTCTCCAGCTCATATTCAGCTGAGGCCGCAATAGGATCAATGTCTTCATTTTTACGATCATACTCATGAACAGCCCACGTTTCATAGACCTACAGGTAAAATCAATTATAGATTGTCATGATAAGTGAAACAAGCAGAAAACATCTCACATATTTCAGGTTTGATACAGATGTGGTTTGGCAGCAATCTTGTAGGTCAGAGGATTTGTTCAATGGGGGTTTCCACAATAGGTAACTGTTGCATATCCCTATAGAACAAAGGCTCTAACCAGCAAATTTCTATGCTTAGATCGTTTCTTCAAATAATTTATCAAAGCTTTATGAACTTTTTCAAGTTCTACCCTTGTCTCACATGCCACTTTCAAGTGACAAATTTTCTACCTTGACTTGCCATGCATGCTGTGTCTTTCAGGAATTTTTTTCAACAAATTTGTAAAAGACTGAAACTGAAAAAAGGAAAATAAATGCATTTACGAACTGGGGTAAATTCATTTCCCTTCTGTTAATTTCCAAACATCCATCTTAAAAATATGCCCCGACCGTACCCAATGTTTCATATTTACGATCAGGACAAGGTTTGAACCAGTTCTTGACAATACACCGGGGAAAAAGAGAGAATTTTACAGGGCAGGAAAACACAGGGTTCTGGTAGTTGAATCTTGAGAGGCTAAAAGCAAACACACTAAGGAAGATATCAAATATCCTCATTCAACTAGCAAAATGTCATGAAAAATCTCCTGCCCCTCTCCGGGGGAAATGAACGGGTAAAAAGCTTCAACTTCCAGACAGTTTGTGGCAAAACCAATTGATGAAACAGGACACAAGGATTGTAGGCATTAAGAGGGGCAAAAGACAAATGAACTGATTGACAGCAACAAACATCTTCAAAAATGGAATTTTTAATCTAGATAAACATTATTACCCGCAAACAGGCTGAGATATGTTGGTACCTAACGATCCAAGTGCTACAGCTGGCACAGCCGGCAGTGGAGTGATTGATATGTGCAGTAAGGTTGTGTGATCACAGAGCATGGTTGGAGGGTTATCTATGCTCACTTATTGATGGAGGGTGTGTTACCTGATTACATTTAATCAGGCAGTGCAATCAGCCGTAGAGATCTGTCTAGACACTGACAAAATTTGCATATCCCTAAATCAGTGGCAAGACAGTACAGACGACACATATCACGTGCATAATTCCAAATTCTACCAACTTTTTAATTCTGTATGGTTAGTAGTTTGAATACAAAGGGATTTGGAGCTGAGTGACTTTAATTCATTCTTGTTGAAAAAACCCTAATGAACCATGCAATCTAAAGTTGAATGCAAAAGGCTATTTTGCTCAAGTTTTATGAGTTTATACTTAAGCGCATGCGGTCGCTTGAATTAGAAAATTAGAAATAACTGTTTGACCTGTTAGATGTTCTTGACAAGTACATGCACATGAGCACCAACTATCACTTTGAAAAGCTTGCTCAAATGGCTTTTAATTTGTGAACAGCTTTTCAAACTAACACCATAGGTCAAAGGTTGCGAGAGAAGAATTGGCTGGAACAAATCCTGTTGCTTAAAGATGCACTTTAGAGTAATTGATGTCACTGCTATGAGCACAGCAGCTAAATCACTGCCAGACAAAGGGCACCAATCCTCCTGTCTTCGCCCTGGGGAAAATTACCCAGCAGACATTCCATCAGACCTTGGCCAGACATTCCCAACTCTCCTCGCTTGGGGAATCTTCAAGGTCGCTGCCAGGAGATCACTCTGTCCTCTGCGACTTCCTAAACGTGCTTCCGTTGCAGTCCATTACTGCCAACGAGGTCTATGTTCTTTGCTGTGAAGGATCCATTATTAATGTTGGTTTTTGAGTTCTGCTGCTGAAGTTTTATCCAGGTCGAGCATGTTCATTTTGTGGCCTATGACATTGCAGACATACATGGGATTACTATGCTGTCAATAACCAGCAATCACAATGCTCTCCGAGTGATATTACACAAACAAACCAAACCAAACAAAACAAAAAAGTTGCAAGAGGCTTACGGTTTCTTGAAGAATTTGCTTTACAGATTTAGATGACAGGATACAAAGTAATGAAACATCAAATAACACCCTCCAAAAACTGATTTCAAAACTTTTTCAGAGCTTTCTCCTGTTGATGTATGTTTTGCAGCCAGTGTTTACCATTACTTTCTAATGCTATAATGAATAAATTCATGTATCAATTTTATAAATACAGAATAAGAGAAAAGGATCTAAAAAACACTTCCTCCCTCTATGAAATACATGAACACAGTGAAATCGTTTTTCACCCTCTACTATCTCATGCACTGCCTTCAGTTCACTTGCCATTGTTTCATTCCAGCGCTTACATATTCAGGTACTTGTAGCTGTTATGTAGGAGAAAAAATATCTCGTGATTGTCTGGAATAAGTTGGGGTATCATGCAACAGATGGACCTGTCAGAAAGTCAAGACCTCAACTGACTGCAGTTCACTTGTTTCAGATCACTGAAAGGGGGAAGCAGGTTGACATAGTGGTTCTTTCCTCGCCTTGCACCTCTGCATCCGGGTTCAATTCCCCACTCCGTACACAGGTGGATTGGTTTTTCAGTCCCTACCTGATTCTGTGGGTTTTCCTCAGAACATTCCTCTGGGGTTTTCCTCCTACCTCTAAAACTGTAACTGCTTCTCATTGTCTCCTCTCTACAGGTTTCCTCAGGCTTGCGAGCTACAGTGCCTAGAGTGCTTTTGAAGAATCCTTGGTGTTATTACCAGAAATAATTAACAAACAGAAGACTTTTGAAAACAGAATTCACACGGTCTATAGCATATTTTGAGGCCTTGTTGCTTTGAATAAAATCCTCTTCCAACAGGTTAATTGAAATAGGACAGAGCTTTCATTTAGCACATTCATGCGTTAGTAAAGTGTTGGCAGACTTTGAGTGTGAGATGTGAGGTGTATGTTGTCATGGTGTTGGTTGCCATGTGGCAATATTCCCGAATGACTGCATGACCATGAATTTCCAATATCTACAGGTTGAGTGCATCACTGAGGAATACCTTCTTAATTTGCAATCTGAGGAGCAACATGATTGGATATTTCACCTCCATTTTCTCAAAGACTTCCTGGAACAAAATAATTTTTTTGGGGGGGGCCCTCTGTTAGATTTTCCCTTATCAGCCTGGCTGGATACGTGTAAGGCATACATGCGTTGAATCATTTCACTATGACTGCTATTGGTACTGTCAGGTAGCACGCATCAGTGAACCTGATAGGCATGCATGAATACCTGTAACTTGATCAGAAAGGCCCTGCTAACAAGCTTGAGGTCGTCTCACCAACCGCAGGAAGAACATTTTTTATTCTTCCCTAAATCCATTACCAGTCAATTTGCCAAACCCTGGAGAATCTTCTAGCACTTAGCATAGATGTGCGCTTGAAATATGACCTTAGGTTGGCCGGGAAGTAGTAAACCAATCACATAGTTTTATTTTATGAAACTTTGAACTTGTTTCCCTCTGTCCTTTCAAAGTTCTTTGAGCTCAACAATTATTATTATAATTGCTGTCATTAATAATACCTAGTAATGACACCAAGGATTCCTCAGAAGCGCCCTCGGCACTGTAGCTCACATGCCTGAAGGGGACAGTGAGGAGCAGTCAGTTTAGTTGAGGCGGGAAGAAGACCCCAGAGGAATATTCTGGGTGAAACCCAAGGAAACAGGTAGGCACTGTAAACCTAAACCACATGTGGACCGAGCCGGGATTCGAACCCAGACCAGAGAGGTGGAAGGCGAGGAAAGAACCGCTACGCCAACCTGAATACAAAGTCAAAAAGAGGGCCCTTTTGAGCACAATCGAGCCATTTCACACCATGGCCGGCCGGCCGAGCCCGAGTATGTCGTTTGATGATGGATGTCTCCAATCTTACCACCTCGGATATGAGATGATAGCAAGCACCGCATCGCAATTTTGCGCCGTTTTCCATTGTTTGCTAACGTCTGTGCTACGTAACACTTTCCCTCCTCTTTTGATTGGTTGCTTTGTCATCTTCACACCACTACAAACATTCTCTACCCCAGGAACCGCTAGAGTGGCTGTCTACAAATGCATTCTCTCATTTCTATTAAAACACTCCTCTCTTTTGCTATTCATCCATCTGCAGTCCTGTTAATGTTGAACCAAGTTCTGTTTTTACGACAGTTTCTCTCCCTCCCCCCCATTTCATTTCCCATCAATGGCTAAAAGGAAGTTTGAGATTTTTACACTGACTGCACGTTGTACATGTGGATGGTCCTTTCTATTCTGCTATTTCCTGAGAACGTTTTCAATATCATTGATATCTGAACATTTCATTTCTTCAATTTCCGCAGAACCATTCACCAATAAATAATTAACTTCAATGAGGTGCCAGTCTGTAGTCATTTTGATTGAGCTGTCTTTGGAGACACTTATTGTACACTACTTTAATGAACCTGGTGATTCAGTATGCGCTGGATTATTAAGCCAGACTGATTCTTTGGTTTTTCTCTGCAACACACCCTTCTCCGTGCCTCGTCTTTCTTTCAATCTATACCTGGCTGGTCTGACATTGGTGGAGCATGAAATGCATCCACAAATAATCACCTGAGGTTTTGAGGGTCCCACAGCAGCATAGGGTCTATGGTAGACATGTACATTCATTTTGCCTAAAGGTATCCTTTAAAATGCCCATTCCCTGTGTTCTACATCAACTTTTGTAAAATGTCTTAATGGTGTACTCAGCACTTTTTAGATTTTAAAAGATAGTTCAAAAAATTCCTGAAATCAGGAAAAATCCTGATGCCAAAAAGTTCCTGACAAATCTTACCCCTGCTTACCTTGCCAGATTTTCATTTCTCTTTAGCCTACATGTGTAAGTCTTTGTCTAATTTTATCTCTTCAGAACCTTCAACAAGGCCACAGGCTAGCCATATCATACTTAAAGCAAATGCAGAGCTGAAGTGAATTTCATGACATCAACAGGGGTAGATCTGCCGCCTCAGTTGCTACTGCTGGTTTCACTTTGTCCTTCATTTCTCATTCAGCAGACTTCAAACCATTCAAGTCTGGTAA